TTAGTATGTTAAATGAGTGCAGTTGTACCATAGTTTGAACAATCTTTGGCATTGCCCTTCTTTGGCATTGGAATGAAAACTGACCTTTTCCAGTCCTGTGGCCACTGCTGAGTTTTCCAAATTTGCTGGCATATTGAGTGCAGCACTTTAACAGCATCATCTTTTAGGATTTTAAATAGCTGGAATTCTGTCACCTCTACCAGCTTTGTTCCTAGTAATACTTCCTAAAGCCCACTTGACTTCACAATCCAGAATGTCCAGCTCTAGGTGAATGATCACACCATTGTGGTTATCTGGGTCATTAAGAGTTTTTTTCCATGTAGTTCCTCTGTGTATTCTTGCCACCTCTTCTTAATCTCTTCTGCTTCTGTTAGGTCATTACCATTTCTCTCCTTTATCGTGTCCATCCTTGCATGAAATATTCCCTTGGTATCTCCAGTTTTCTCGAAGAGATCTCTAGTCTTTCCCATTCTATTGTTTTCCTCTATCCGTTTACACTGTTCATTTATTCTTTACATTCACTTTTTTTTAAAGAGGCCCCCAAATAAGCCTTAGGCCCCACAATCCTGGACCTGCCCACTGGGTCCTGAATTTTTCCAACTGCAAAGATGAGTAAAGGCTGTGAGGGTCTTCACAGGAGTAAAGAGGATCTCTTTTCATCCTCTTAAAGGCGGTGAGAGAAGCTGAGGAATGAGGGTAAGAGACGTGTCAAGGGCCTCACACGTCAGAGTGAGTTGGGCCTGCAATCTGGGAGACTCTCACTTGAATGCCCACCCTCTGATGACAACCCCTGCCTTGGCGCTGGACCTCATGCACCCAAAGCAGCCTCAGTCGCAGGCTGAGCTCCCTCCGGCAGCCTGTGCGGCCCGGCTCCACGCCTCCGCTGCAGCAGCTCTATGGACCACAAGGTGGCAGCAGACACCATCTTTCCTCCCCGTTCCGCCCAGATTCCTGGCCCCAAGTTGCCAAACCTTAGTCTTCCCCACAAATACCCCATCAGCTCTTTCCTTCCCTCTCAGGAAACAGGGAATGCTGCTTGCAAATCCCAGCCTTGTCATTGACAAATTGTGTGATCGCAAGAAGATCATTTCACCTCTCCCAGCCTCAGCCATAAAATAGGGGGTTCTCATGGGAACGGGTTGGTGATGTACCTGGCAGATATACAATAAACCAATTGCTGGCAGCCACTGCTGTTTGAAAAGGGGCTTCTGGAGATGGCATCTTCCTTGGAAAGGGGTTCTCCTGGTGGGATTGGCCCCCTCCCCACACCATAGCAAAGCAGAGGCCCTCTGGGGCAGCGGGGCCTTCAGAGACCTTCTGTGTTTATTGGTGGGCACCCTCTGTGCCCCTGCATGCATCTTTCCCCAGACTGGGGCATCTGACTCGGTTTTTTCTCCATCCCTGCCAACCCCATCTCTCCCTTGGAGGGGGCTCTGCAGCCTCTTGCCCACCTTAATGTTATGCTGGGGATCAGCCACGGGATTCAGTTGGATCCTCCTTGGGAAGGTGTCCCTGAATCAATTTTCATCTCTCATCAACTTTCTCTCTACATCAGGTGCCCCCAAGTGACTGACACAGCCCAGCCAGCACATGGCTATCTCTACCTCCAAGACTCCCTGGCTGACCCAAATGTCAGTATCTCTTCTCCTCCACCACCTGCCCTGCTCTTAACCTGGCATTCAAGGCCTTCCACTATTTGGTCACACAATGTACTCCGTGCTCCACATATACCGGACCACTTTCTGTTCCCAGAGCACACCTGCACTAGTCTACTTCCAGGCCTTTGTGCAGGCTGTCCCGCCCCCTGCAAGGCCCTCTTCCATTTCCATACAGTAAAGTCATCCTTAAAAGTCTAGCTGGAAGGTCACCTCCAGGCAATCTTCCCTATCTCCCAGATGGAATCCTTCTCCCTTCCCTGGGCTCTGGGTACACAGCTGCTTTAGGGCCTTCATCACAGAAGGCCGTGAATCACAACAGGAATGAATGTCCAATGTGTATGGAGAGCAACTTTCAATTTACAAATGGCTTTCCATCTAATTATCTTAGAGTCTTAATGTCCCGGAGTCAGGAAAGGAAGACAGGATGAGCGCCATGACCTCATTTGACTGGTGAGGAGACAGTCAGGTTAGGAGAGAAATATGACTGACTGGGTCATATGCCCACCCCTGTGAATGGTGCGATCGGGATTCAAACTTGCAACAGATTTCAGCCCCTGCCTCCTGCCAGAGCTTCCCATGCTGTCTCCACCGTTCCTTGTGGCCTGGTCTTGTGACACCCTTCCCCATTTAGATTGGACATTGGTCAGTTTTGAAGAAAGAGCTCAATTAAGTTTTGTTGACAGGACAGATTTTCATATTGGCCCTGCCTCCCACCCTCTACCACCTAAGCCCCTAGCCCATCCCTTGGCCTCTTTATCACCCAACTCAAGACCCATCACCCAGTGGAGGCTGATGGCAAAGCCCAGGCTCTGCAGGATAAGGAGTTGGCTGGAGGCCCAGGCAACTCAGAGGAGGAGGGGGAGACACAAACAGGTTCCTTCCCTGTCCCCCAAGCTTATCAGTCCCTCCCAGGCCCTAGGCAAACTTGGTGCTCAGCCCAGGGGCAGAGATCTGTTGCCTACTTATAACCCTTAGAAGCTGTGTGACCTTGGCTGTCTTCTGCTCTCAGACCCTCTTTAGAACACTTTTGGCTATAAGGATTCAAAGGGATGGAATGAGAAAATACAGGTAAAATAACAGTGATCACCTCCTCTGGAGGACTCCCCCACAGGGAGCATCTCAGGGAGCAAATAACACGGGAGGTGGAGACTGCACTGGCCGAGGCAGGGAAGCAGGGGGCTTGAGGTTCACGCAGGGACAGCATCCACCCATCCCTCCGGCCCCCTCAACCCGGTGCCTTTCACCCACACAAGTGCACATGTCACTCCAACAAGAAACCCAGGCTGTGTCCTGAGAGAGGGTCCTGGGCAGGGCTCCAGGGCCAGGCGGGAGGTGGGGGAGGCACCAGTTTATATGACAACACAGAGAGACACAGAGGCACACCTGTGCAAACTCACCATCGAGGGCACACTGTCACACCCATAAGTGCATCTGCCCTGCTCCACAATACACAGAGATGAGAGACACACACCAGGTCAAGATCACAAGCGCACTCCCACACGGACTCCCACGCACAAACTCAGAAATAGAGAGCCCTCCCTGGCCACCCCCACCACACACACACATTCTCAGGCACACACACTTATCAGTGCGGGGCAGGCGCAGGCGCTGCTGAGTCACCCGCGGGCAGCTCCAGCCTAAGAGGAGGAGCCAAGTGCCCGCCCCCATCAGGAGGGGGTGGGGCCTGCGGCAGTTCCTTAGAATAGCCGCGTCTGAGCCGCTGCGGGATTCTCCGCGCCCCGCCCTTTAGATAGAGGAGGAGAGTCTGAAAAGGGGAAGGAAACCCCTTTTGCGGAGGCTAAATCAAGGCGTTCACAGCCTGCTCTCTCCAGGGTGCGCGAATACATGTGGGAGCAATTAAAAAAAATAACACTGGAACCATTACCGGGGATTTGCATATGTATTTTCACATGCTCATTTAATTTTCGCAACAGCTCTATGTGAAGTTGGGGCTATTATTAATCCAGAGGGAAAGGGATTTACCCAGAGGTACGGAACGGCTAAGAGGAAGAGCCTAGACTCCTTCGTCTGCAAATCCCAAACTCTTAACCACTGGGCTGAGCCATACCACCTGGTGGGCAGGTGAGAATGTGGACAAGTGAAAGGTGTGTTGGTAGGCTTGGGAACCTGGATGTGTGTCAGCTTCCCCTGTGGGGGAAGGGACGCTCCCCTATGAGAGAGGGACTGAAAGGGTCTCAAGAGTCTAGATTTCTGGTTAAAGAAACTATAGCTCCGGTGGTGCATTGGAGCCTGTGCACCTTTATCAGAAGATGTAGGGGCTCAGACCTTCCTCTGCTAGATTGTGAGCTTCTTGAAGGCAGGGACCTGGGCCCTGACCCAAAGGGGGCTTCGGTGAATTTGGGGGGCAACATGAATTTCTATGTATAATAAAGGCTAACACTTCGGGGATGCTTACCCAGAGACTGGCAGTACTTTACACGGGTTATTTCACTTAACGGCCCACAGGTGTGTGCGTTCATGTGTGCTCAGCCATGTCCATGATCCTACGGACTGTACCCCGCCAGGCTCCTCTGTCCATGGGATTTCCGAATAAGAATACTGGAGTGGGTTGCTGTTTCCTTCTCCAGGGATCTTTCCGACCCAGGGATTGAACCTGCATCTCCTGCATGGGCAGACGGATGCTTTTTACCACTGAGCCACCTGGGAGGCCCCTGGGTCTCCTCGAGCACAGCTCTGAAATGCGGTGAAGAGGGGAGGGGATTTGGACCATGACTATGTAAGCCCCTTCCAGCGTTGACGGGACAGACGATAAGGAGGGCAAAGTCTCTGAGTGGGAAGATGCGAATAAAGGGAACCAGAGGCCACGATTACTGAAGACCACCCACTCTGCGCCAGCCCTGCGCTTGGCACTTAACATATACTGCTAATTCTCAGGAAAATATTCCTCAAGGTTTATATTTGAGGAAACAGCTTCAGAGTAGTGAGTCTGACACAGGTGGCACAGGTCATCCAGGTGTCCTCGCCAGGATTACTTCCCTAGTCCCCTGTGACCAAGCCCTTGTCTCCCTTCCAGCCTCAGGGGGTAGCGCCAAGTGGCAAATTGCATCATACTTTTGCCATATGACTTTAGACACCGCACCAGCCAATTCAGGCGCTCCCAGTTCGAGACTCCGCAGACCCAGCGGGTCAGCAACCCTACCGGCGAGCGCTGGGCGTCCCGTCAGGCCGCACCTGCAGCCCTCGCCTCTTCCCGGTTGCGACGCTCTCTCTGCCCGGCCCAGTTCCTCCCCCCTTCCCCGCCGCCCTGCTGACTGGCAGTTGCCTGCACCAATCCTAAGGCACCCCGGGTCGGGGGCGGGGCCTCACGCCAGAGTTGCCCTGTCAGTGCAGGTGGAGGCCCCCGAAGGGGCAAAGTGGCAGGAACCTCTTAAAGGGCGAGAGCGGCGGAGGGCGAGAACGCGGCCCGGCCCGGCCCGGCCAGGTCCCCGCCCTGTCCAGCCCAGGTGAGCCTGGACCTCCTGGGGGACGAGCCCGGGTCCCGGGAGGGACGGGGTGAGACACAGACGGACGCACTCCCCAAGGGCCCGGGGCGTCCCGCGGGGAGCGGGGAGAGGTCTGGTTCTCAGGGTCGGGGGTGCTATAGAGGTCCCCGGTCCCCAGTTCCGAACTGGGGGTCCAGTGGGAGGGGGTCTGGGGTTCCCGAAGTTCAGGGTGCGGGGAGGGGCAGGGGAGGCAGGAAGGGGGTCCGAGAGCTCGCGTCCGGAGCTGGGCGCTTGGCGCGCGGTCCCAGCCGGTTCCGGGCCTGTCTGGGGCGGGGGTCCGGGGTGAGGGGCGGGCGGGCGGGTCTCTGCGGAGGGCTGCAGCCCAGGCTTCCCCTACCACCACCCCCTCAACCCCGCCCTGTCGGCCCCGCGTGCTCCGGCGGGGCGGGCTGCAGCGCCACTGGAGCGGGCGGGAGGGCGGCGTGCGCCGGGAGCGGGCAACCCGGTCCGGGCCCCCGCGCCCCGCTCCGGGCCTTACGTAACTGACTTTGAGTTTCCGGACTGAGGGACCCGCGAGCTGGGGCGCCGGCTCTGCCGGCCAGGGTGGCCCTGCTGTCGCCGCCCCCGCCGCACACGCTCCCTTTCCAGGCTGGGTTTAGGGGACTTCTCTCTGCCTCCCGTCGGCCTGGTCTCCCTGTCGGGCTCTGGTTCCGGCTCGCTCTCTTCTCCCGGTTCCTTGTGTCTCTCGTCTCCTCTTTGTGTGACCCGGCCTCTCCCTGTCCTGCCCTCATCTACACTTTCCAGCAGACCCCACCTCTGTGGGTTGGGATAGGACTTTTTTCCTCCAGCAAATTGGAGGCCAGGACGTGTCCAGACCGACCTCAGCCCAAGCTTGCCCCAGGAGGGCGGGGAGAACTACCTGGTAGGATTGGGGGAGGTTACTCCGGAAGCCCACAGATTCTTCTGGGAGAGGAGCGACTGAATGTGACCCTTTAAACTCTCAGATTAGAACTGAAGGCAGCTCCCCCTCCCCCACCTTTGCTTCTGAGGCCTTTTTCTCCAGGAGGAGGTTTGGGGAGAGCTTGACCTGGGTTGGGGCCTCGGGCAGCTGGAAGTCCCTGGAAGAACTGCTCAGCTGCTGAAGGAGGGTGGGGCCCTGGTGGCGGGGGTGGGGTTGGGGGGGGCTAGAACACTGGCCGCAGAGCCCTGGAGGTTACTTACTGCATGCGCCCACCTTCACCCCAGTTACAGGCTGGGGACTGGCCTTAGCAGGAGGCTGGGGGTGGGGAGGGGATCAACAGGAGGCCACCATTAGACTTTCCATTGGCCGGGGGTGGAGGGGTGGGGAGGGAGGTATAAGTGACAGACTCTCAGGTCTAAGGGGCACTTGGTGGGGTCACTCTCTGCCTTCAGGGTCCTTCTGAGCGTCAGAGAAACAGACACCTCGGAAACAACTCCTGCACCCCCGCTGTCCGCTGCATGTAAACAAGGTGTTAAGAGCGCTGGTGAGGTGGGAGTTGTTCATTCTGACCAGGGGTGGGGAGGAGAGACTTGGCAGAGGGGGTGGGAGTTGGGGAAGAAGGACTTTCTGAAGCTGTAGGGAGCAGAGAGGAGGGACAGAAGGGGACTTCGGGGACCCTGTAGACTTTTCTTGCAGCAGAACTGGGTTTGAAGCCTGGCCCTGCCATTTTCTTGCTATGTGACCTTGCATGAGTCACTTCACCTCTCGGAGCCCCAGGTTCCTCCTTTGTCAATAATCCAGATCTTACAGTCATTAGCAGAATCAAATGAGCACTGAGTGTGCAGTGACCAGAATGGTAGCTGGTCTGGGAACAGGCCAGCAGGGGTGCATTAAGAAGGGAATGGAGTGAGGAAGCCCTGAGGTTTCCTCTGTGTATACAGGACTGACTCAGGCAGGACCTGCTGGGTCCCTGGCAATGTGGGATACGGGTGGAGTGTCTTGTGTGGGTGACACCCATCTGTTTTCTGATCAGTCCATCTCTGAACTGCCTAGACCAGGCTAGCCTCCTTCCTGAAGACCCCAGGCACCAAGAGAAGCTCCCAGGCTGCCTCGCTCCCTAGGCCAGTGGGAATGGGGCCGTGGCAGGGCAAGGCCAGCACCCTGTTTGCAGAATGGACACTGCCTGGGAGCCTGGCTGCCTGCGTTGGGCAGGAACATCCCAGCCTGGCTGGGAAGATGCTGACACTGTAGAGGCCTCTGGAGGCCCAGAGCGCTGCTGGCTGGAGTTGGGTGCGGCTGATAGGATCTGAGACAGGCTGGCCAGGGTGGGAGTGAGGAAGGGAGGTGCAAGGAATGACCCCCTGGAGGTGGAACCTGAGCAGAGCTGTGGAACCAGAGAGGAATTTCATGTAGTTATTCCCCAGACCTTCCCGGAGCACCTCCTGTGTGACTGTATGGCTCTGCTAACCAAAGGGCTGAATGTGCTGTGCTGTGCTTAGTCACTCAGTCGTGTCTGACTCTTTGCAACCCCATGGACAGTAGCCCACCAGAATCCTCATGGGGATTCTCCAGGCAAGAATACTGGAGCGGGTTGTCATGCCCTGCTCCAGGGGATCTTCCCAACCCAGGGATTGAACCCAGGTCTCCCGCATTGCAGGCGGATTCTTAACTGTCTGAGCCACCAGGGCCAAATAGGATACCCATGAAAGGCTCACCGTAGAGGTCATGGTGGCCTGAGACTTGTTGAGGGTTTGCGGAGTAGACCTTTATGACGGTCCCCTGGGGGATGGGTCACTCAGAATTTCTCCAGGGCCTAAGATTCTGATGTTGGTTAACGGGGCAGGATTCTACTCCCTGATCGTCTGTGGGCAGTCACGTTTCTCCGCAGGGTTTCAGTTTTCTCTTTCTGTGAAGGAACGTAGAGTCTCTAAGATCTTCCAGCATTCATTACTGCAGCCCCCAGGACCTAGTTTGGGACTATCCTCACTCTACGTGAGGGGAGGGGAGAGAATGGGGATAAGGGCAAAGTTGAGTGTAATGGGCACTCAAGTCCTGTTCTTGGCCTGTGTTCTCAAATCATAGTTAGAACTGTAGCCTCTTGAGCACTTGTGCAGGGTGCGCTATGCCAAGCCTTTCATATGCAACATTATGTATTCCTCATCATCCCAACATCTTTGTGAGGGAATAGGTATTATCCCTATTCAGGGAGGTGAATTGACTTGAGCAGAGTCACATAACTAGGAAGTGACTGGGCTGGGATTCTAAGCCAGGTCTGTCTGACTCCAAAGCCCAGATTCAGCTACAAGAGGGAGACTCCACCCAGTAGGTACTGAGGCACCCGCATTACTTAACCCTTATTTGCAGAACCTGCCTGACCCCTGCTGGGTGAGCTCACAGCTCAGAGATATTCAGGCTAGGGAGGTGGGGGACAGGCTGTGTGGGTGCCCTCTGGGCCCAATAAGCAGGGGGGAAAGGAACAGAAGGAGCAACTTGTGGGTCAGGGCCTCACAGGGAACTTCTCCAAAGGGTCAGTAAGTGCTGGGCATGAAAGGCACCCTGGGGTATATGGCCAATTTGGATCTCAGTTTCTCCATCAGTAAAGCATGGGTTTGGAGTCGTTGAGTGCAGGCATTCCTTGGCCTTCGGGTGAGTGGCTGAAGTTGGCGATGGGGTCAAGGGTTAGAGGAGGGGTCAGATAGCAGTGACTGAGCCTGTGGAGGGAGAGCTTGGATCCTGGGCTGGCTGTTTGACATTTGAAAGGCTTGGCACAGAGCGCCATGCACAGTAACTGCTCAGGAGGCTGCAGTTCTAATTATGATTTGAGATTTCAGATGAAGAAGGGACTGAAGCTGGAGACGTTCAAAGGCTTGGCTGGGGCTGGACAGATAGTATTGCAGAGACTGAAGGGAAAAATGGAAGGGAGAGCAAAATCCAGGCAGGTGCCAGCTGGAATCTTGGCTCAACCACTTACCTAGGTTTGGAGATGTGAAGTAAGGGCCCAAGAACCCACAGAGAAGAGTCCCATCACCTCACTGTGCTCATCTGTAAAATGGGAATAGTAATTCTGTCTTGGTCCACTTCCTGGGTTACTGGGAAGGTCAAAATGTTCTTCGGCATTTGTGGAATCAGGTGAGAAGGTGGGGGCTAGTTATTTTTCAGTTCAATGCTGCAGTTCTGGCTGTATGTTTGTGGGGAGGGAGCATTTCTGATAACAACTCTGCAGAGATGCTTTACCCTGGGGATGCATTGGAGACCAGCCGTATTTATGTCACCAATAAATGTCACCGCTATTTATTGAATATAATTAGTTACCATACACCAGGCACTGGGCTTAGAGCTTCACCTCTTGTCTCCTTTCATCTCTACCTTCTCAGGTGGCCTGCCCCACACTAGAGGCCTCTGAAACCCATGCCTCCACCTCCCTATGGTAACAGTAGCAAACATTTCTGAAGAGTTTACTCTGTTACTGTGTGCCAAGCATTCTTCAAAATGTTTTACATATATTAACTCAATCTTCAAAACCCTGGAAGTGGGTACTAATACTTTCCCCATTTTACTGAAGAATAACTGAGGTGCAGAGAAATGAAGAAATAGGCCTGGTATCACAAAGCTAGTGTGTCATAGAGCCAGGGTATGGACCCAAGTTCTTAAGTCTCCTCCTTGAAGTGCTCATCACAATTGCAATTCAGTTTTTATAAGATTGCCTCCTCACTGACTGTAGGTTCCATGAGGGCAAGGACTGACACCTGGCACACAGTAGGTGCTCAGCTAATGTTTATGCAGGGATCCCGCTGCTTCCAGTGGGCTGGGCCCTGGGAAACCTCATGAGCTCAGGGTAGATTATCAGATTGCTGACCAAGAAGGTCTCCGTCCCAGAGGCAGAGGGAGGGTTCCCCTGGGCCCATGCTCAGGCCAAAGAGGGACCCCGAGGACATGTTTGCTGGCTGTTCTGTGTCTCACTGATGTCTTTTCCTTCCACGTGCCACTGTGGCGATGGCTCCACGGCTTCTCCCCGACGGCTGCGTGACCCCTTGGCTGCTTCTGGGTGAGTACTGGTTCTGCTAAGGACGGCCACGTGGCTCTAAGGCCACTGGGAGGTATAATGGGAGGCCTGGGGTGGGGGAGGAAGAGCCGTGGGAGGGTCCTAACTCTGAAGTTAGATTACTGTCACAACTAGCTGACTTCTCGCCGGATGCCTGGCATGCTGATGTGGTGATTTTGGGGTCACGTGGCACAATGCAAAGGTCTCAGGGGCAGATTGGCCTGGAATGGAATCCTTATTCTGCCATGTGCGGGCTAGGTGGCTCTTTGCATCTCAGTTTTGCCTCTGTGAGGGGGGACTGTTGACACCTACCTGATACAAGCATGTTTGTTGTTTTATTCGCGTGAACCCCACGAGGGCCGGGATGTTTGTTCTCCTGCTCACTGCTGTCCCCTAGCACTGAGGATAGAATGGCTGGTAGTAGATGTGCAGTGAATATTTCTGAATGAAAGCACATATAAATTCGGAATCACGGTTCACCCATCGATGTACTTTGTATTGGATTAAGAGGCTAATGCATGTGAAGTGCCCAGTGTTATAGGGGCTCAGTGAACATGAGTCCTCTCTTTGCTCCCAAGATGGTGAATTCCTTGGGGTCAGGTCTCTGTTAAGTGAGCCCTGGGTCCTCTCAACTGAGTGTGGGGTCAAGTACCAAGCAGGCATCAGAGAGCAGAGAGAGTGGCCTAGGCAGCTAGACTCAGGGCCTCTGCTTAGGTCTGGGGAAGGAGTGGTGAAGCTTCTGGATGTCATCAGAAGGGTGGGGCTGCTTGCTGGGGAGGTCTAGGGCTGAAGGCAGGAGGGATGAGGAGAGACTCTGCCTCCCAAGACTGCCACGTTCCTAGCTGTGTGACCTCGGACGAGACACAACCCTCTCTGAGTTCTGGAGACCTCATCAGGAACATGCATATCCTGACACCTGCCCGATGTGGGCAGCGGGAGGAGCTGGTGAGAAGTGCTGGGCACAGGCCCTGCTGGGCAACTGCTGGTTTCCTCCCCCCCCGGGCTCCTTCTGGGAGGGGACAGAGCAGAGCGTTCCTCTTTTTGGCTCCTTTCTCCTACTTTTAACTTCCCACCCAGGAGGAACTAGAATCTAGGAGTCAGGAGCCCCACACTCCCCAGCAGGCTGGCCGGGGTCCAGGGATAAGGGCTGGCTTCTGCCAGCGTGGAGGTGGCTGAGTGCAGGACTCAGCTCTGCCATTTTTTTTTGTTGATGTTGTTGTGTGACTTGATTCAATAACCCACCATCTCTGGGCCTCGGTTACCTCACCTGTTAAAATAGGGTGAGTAAAACATACTTCCTTCGAAGGATTATTTAATGAGCAAATGGGTGGAGCAGGAACTATCCTCACTGTTAGTGTTTGGCCCTGGAGGCTCCAGTGGGGGAGCCTGGAGAATTGCATCTTGCCTTGGCCTGGGGATCTTGAGATTGGAGTCATCATATGTACTATTGCCGCTTATTGGAATTTTTTAATACACTGGGCTGGTTATTATATGTTATTCTAGACACATTATCTCATCTAGCCCTCCCAGTGACCTTATGAGGTAGGCATTATGGCCCCTACTTTATGGATGATGTAATTGGTGCTGAGTAAATCAAGTGAGTTACCCAGAGTCACAGAGTTATTTGGGAGTGGACTTGGGGCTCAGACTCAAGTCTGTTCACCCCACAGCCACAGTTCTTAGTGTGAAACTCACCTGCCCCATGAAGGTAGAGGCTGGGTCTGAGTCTTTTCTATCTCCATTACCCAACACAGGGTTGGTGGGGGCTGCTGGACTTTCTGCTGCACACACACACACACACACCACACACACACACACCACACACACCACACACACACACACACACCACACACACACACCACACACACCACACACACACACACCACACACACACACACACACCACACACACACACCACACACACACACCACACACCACACACACACCACACACACACACCACACACACGCGCACACACACCACACACACACACCCCACACACACACACACCACACACACACACACGCACGCGCACACACACACACACACCACACAGACACCACACACACACACACACCACACACACACACACACCACACACACACACCACACACACACACCACACACACACACAGCACACACACACACACCACACACACACACACACACACCACACACACACACGCGCGCGCACACACACCACACACACCACACACACACACACACCACACACACGCACGCACACACACACACACACACACCACACACACACACACACACCACACACACACACCACACACACACACCACACACCACACACACACCACACACACACACCACACACACACACCACACACCACACACACACCACACACACACACCACACACACGCGCACACACACCACACACACACACCCCACACACACACACACCACACACACACACACGCACGCGCACACACACACACACACCACACAGACACCACACACACACACACACCACACACACACACACACACCACACACACACACCACACACACACACAGCACACACACACACACACCACACACACCACACACACACACCACACACACACACACACCACACACACCACACACACACACCACACACACACACACACCACACACACCACACACACACACCACACACACACACACACACCGCGCACACACACCACACACACCACACACACACACCACACACACACACACCACACACACACACACACACACCACACACACACACACACGCGCGCGCACACACACCACACACACCACACACACACACCACACACACACACACACCACACACACGCACGCACACACACACACACACACACCACACAGACACCACACACACACACACACCACACACACACACACACACACACACCACACACACACACCACACACCACACACACACACCACACACACACACACAGCACACACACACACACACGCACACACACCACACACACACACACACCACACACACACACACACCACACACACACACCCACCACACACCACACACACACACACCACACACACACACAGACCACACACACACACACACACCACACACACACACACACCACACACACACACCCACCACACACCACACACATACACACCACACACACCACACACCCCACACACACACACCACACACACACACACACACACACCACACACACACACCACACACACACACACCACACACCACACACACACACACACACCCCCCACACACACACACCACACACACACACCACACACACACACCACCACACACACACACACCACACACACACACACACCACACACACACACACACCACACACACACACACACACCACACACACCACACACACACAGACACCACACACATACACACACCACACACACACACACCACACACACACACACACACACACACACCCCACCCCCACCTAGTCTGGTGCTCCAAAAGTATTGAAAGGAGAGAATAGAAAGTCAAAGGCCTGACAGCGTAGTAGTTGAGAGTCAGATAGACCTGGCTTTGAATCCTGGATCTGTTGCTTTCTAGTTGTGTGACCTTGGGCAAGACATTTAACCTTTTAGAATCATACTGTCCTTATCTGTAAAATGGGGATAAAGAAAGAACCTGCCTACCTCTTAAAAATTCTTATGAGGATTAGATAATGCACGTAAGGCACATGGTGAGTACTCAATGATAGCAATTATTGTTATTATAGTTATAATTATGAGTATTATTTTGGGATTACAAAAACATCCCTCTTGAGACAGTGGAGACCAGGCCTGGGAGGAACCTGCCGGGGATGGGTGGGTAGTCACCAATCTAACAGGTTCTGAAAGGTGCCCACGTGTGGGAAGGGAGGAGGCCTCTTGGAAGTAAGAATGTCCCTCCGTTTCCTACCTGTCTGCTTTTACTCATGCCCACTCTGTGCCTGGCTCCGTTCTGGGCATGGGGCACAGAGGTGAATCTACGTCATCTCTGCCCCCACCGACTCCTGCCCTGAGGATCTCAGAGTCTGGTTGGGGAGGAGGACACAGAAACTACCAACTCCACCTCTGATTGATGCAAAGTGTGACCTGTGAATATCTCTTCAGGCAAAGACCAGGAGAAAGGGCTGTCCTAGTGGAAAGAACTGCTTTGCCAAGAACAGAGCCGTGACCTGCACTTGGGGGAACATGGCTGAAGAGACAGGTTCAGGGGAGTTAGGGGACTTGACGTGGAGGCCATGGGGGCTGTTGGACAGGAAGCTGGGGAGTGGGGTGGTCAGGCTTGTATTGCAGGAGGATCACTTGGTGCGGAGGACAGACAGGAGGGAGGGGCAGGGCAACTCTCCAGGTGAGCGGTGCTGAGATATGGGGCCTGGGACTGAGCTGGGGAGGGGGGAACACGCACCATGGGTGGTTGTGAGCTCTCTCCAGGAAGCAGAGCCAGAGCCTGCAGGGCGTGTCAAGGGACCCCTGTGGGCAGGCAGGAGGGGACAGAGGTGAGAGTGATGTCTTAGGTCTGGGGGTGATGGGACTCCCTGCTGGAGTCTCTGCTGGGGGACACAGCTGGGACAGGGGGTAAAGGCCCATTGTCTGCTCCTTGCACCTTCTGCCTCAGTTCCCCCAGGGCCCATGCCCCTCCTCCTGCCTTAGGGGTCCCTTGTGGTGACTCTGGTAGGGATGAGAGCTCTTTGGGGGTGGAGGCCGGGTGGGGCTCTGAGATGCAGACAAGCCTTGGGTTCTAGCTCTGCCAATGCCACTGATGTCTGTGTGGCCCCTGGAAGTCACCACCTCTCTTGCCCTGTTGTCCTTGCCTTGGAAGCGTGGGTGAGAAAATCTGTTTTGGGGGCTTCCCTGGTGGTCCAATGGTTAAGACTCTGTGCTTCCACTGCAGAGGGCATGGTTTAATCCCTGGTCGGTCGGTTGGGGAAGTTCCGCATGTTGTGAGGTGAGGCCAAAGGAAAAAAAAAAGTGAAAAGTAATAACCTTTTTAAGAAAAGAAAACCTGTTTAGCTTGCCTCAGCGTTTCAATGAGAAAATACAATCAGGGACAACAAACATCTATCGAGCATAGACTGTGTATTAGGTTCTGTGGGTGGGGGTGGGGGGTGCACAAAGGTGATGCAGAGAGGAGGTTCCTCCCCTTCGGGAAGCATGAAGTGACTGAGCCCAGACCAGCAGGTGGTTAACAGTGGGCCTCAGGGGAAGAGATAGCTCAGCAGGGATTTGAAGGATGAATAAGAGCTCTCTAGGTGGGCAGTGGAGGGAACAGACTCCTAGCCTAGGGAACAGCGTGTGTGAAGGCTTGAAGCTACCCCACGTGCTCAGGTCCTAAGTACCTAGTTTGGTATGGCTGGAGCAGAAAGGGAGAGGTCGGTGCTGATTTCGATGAGGCTGGACAGGGAGGCAGGCCCAGATTCCACACTTGCTACCCTTTTCTTCCTGAGCCTTCGTAACTGCTGCCCCCCTCACTGAGACTGCCAGGGCCCTGTCCCCCCGCTCCTCTCCCCACCCACCCTCCCCTTCCCTCCTTGTTCCTCTCACCCAACTCTGGTCACACCCAGCGGCTGCCTCTCTCAGGAGTCAACAAACTGGGTTCCCTGCCAGCTTTGCCATGTATGGGTTGTGTGGCCTTTGGTCGTTTTGCCCTCCCTGAACCTCAGTTTCCACTTCAGTGAAATGGGGACAGTGGCCTTCCTCACAGTGAAGAGTGGAGGCTTCAATGAGATAAGCCCCACAAATGGCCTTGTACGGTGGCTGAATGTCATAGGCACCCGTCAAAGGCAGCTCTACTGAAATCATCATGATTTGGACTTCTTGGTCTCTCTGGTCCCGCCCACTGCTTCCCCTGCCTCTCCTGGCAGCCAGCGCTGGCCAACAAAGGAAGGAAAGGATTAAGAAACAGCCCCATATCTCCAGCGGGTCCTGGCCCACAGCCGAGGTTGTTCCCTCCTGTCCTTTGCCCCCCTTGGCCTCGGGCCCAAGGACATGTGGTTTTAAGGCCTGGGCTCCCCCCAGCTCCCCACCCAGGAAGCCCCTCCCAGACTAGAGGCCAACACCAGCAGCAGCCCTGAAAAAGGGACAAAAATTTTTTAAATACATAGCTTAATTTTTTTCCCCTGCAAGCTGATAATCAGGCTCTTTTTTTTCTGGATGATTGGGAGAGGAGCAAATATCATGTCCTGTATCTGTGGGTGGCCCCGTAGTCCGGGTGGAACTGGAGCCCTGAGCCTCTTGGATTTTACAGCAGAGGCTGGTGACCAAGTCTCTTTTGGTACAGATGTGGGAAACTCCGATCAGAGTAGGCGGCTGATGGCACAAGCTCACGCAGCAGGAACGTCGGTCTCCGGACCCGTTTTGCACTGTCCTGTGAATGCTTGTGATGCTGGCTATCATGGCACCTCCCTGAGCCTCGGTTTCCTCTGCTGTGGGATGGGGTGACTTTACTGTGAGGACTGGCAGTAAGGTGAATAGAGCACTTAGTCCGGGGCTCAGCACAGTGAGGCCTCAATGGTAGGTTATTGTTTGGTTGCTCAGTGATACGGGATCAGCGTGTGTGTGTATGTGTGTGTGTGTGTGTGTGTGTATGTGTACGCGCGCGCGCACAATTGCTCAGTCATGTCTGACTCTTGCAACCCCATGGACTGTAGTCCCCGAGGCTCCTCTGTCCATTGGATTTCGTAAGCAAGAATACTGGAGTGGATTGCCATTTCCTTCTCCAGGGGATCTTCCCCACCCAGGGATCGAACCCGCATCTCCTGCATTGGCAGGTGGATTCTTTGCCACCGAGCCACCTGGGAATTCCCAGTGGTAGGGAGCAACTGTGATTGCTGTGATAACTGCTGCCTCTGAGAACATGTCAGTCTAGGGACTTGGAGTGTTTGATAGTTTCTTGTTGAATAGGTGGCATCCAGTAGACTGGTTTCAGAGTCAGAGGCTCAGCATCTCCCCACCCCCTCCCACCCCCTGCCCCCCCCTTCCTGGTTGGCTGGGACACTCTGGCCTCACCCTCGGCCTGATTTTGGCCTTTGCCCCTGGCCTGTCTCTGCCCTCCAGGCACCACGCCTGCACGGCCTTTCTTCCAGGAGTCAGGCGAGGACAGAGTTGCCCTTCCGCAGCCTCCTCTGCTCCATCGCTACTGCAAGTGCTTGGGAAAAGCAGAGTCGGGAGGGTCTTGCATCATCCAGGCTTTGGCTGGATTTATTACTGTGGGGACAGTTGAGGGCTCAGGGGCAGAGGTGGCTTCTGAGCTCTCTGGCGCTGTCCTCTGGGAGCTAAGTGGACACTAAGACTTTCGCAGAGGCTGTGAGATAGGTCTCGAGGGGCGAACCTGGTCCAGGCCCCAAATCTGGTGGAGTGGAAGGACCACTACACTGGGGGCTGGAGGGCTGCGTCCCTTCCCCATGCCCTCTCGGAGCCTCTGTTTTCTGATTTATAAAAGGAAGGGGTTTTATGTCAGAGGTTTCTACTAACATTACAGGATTAAAAGAAGGGATTTGGGGGCCAAGAGAGAGCTCCATTTAAATCGCAGCTTCACCACTGACCAGCCATGGGGCCCCTAGCAAGGTGTTCTCCCTCAGTTTTCTCACCTATAAAATGGGAAAAATAGCAGCAGCTTCTCATGGGTACTTAAGGGCTCAATTAGATAATTCAGGTAGAGTACTCCTTCCATAGCAGGCACACTGGAATGACTGTTACTGTTGTCATTGTGAGATTAGCAGAGGCAAGAAGAAACAGCCAAGGCCAGTTACGGAGCAGTTCATGAAGGAGGCAGGGCTTGAGAATGTGCAGGATTCACCCATCCGTTCATTCCCTTGACACAGACGTAGTTAGATTCGCACAGACAGGGCACAGAGAAGAGGGCAGGGAGGCTGGAGAAAACCGGAGGCAAGCAGACCTGCCGCTCTAGCGGTGTGATGCGGCTCACGGTGTGTGTGTGCACTCAGCCATGTCCGATTCTTTGGGACTCCATGGACTGTAGCCCGCCAGGCTCCTCTGACCATGGACTTTTCCGGGCAAGGATACTGGAGTGGGTTGCCATTTCCTATTCCAGGGGATCCTCCCAACCCAGGGATCGAACCTGCGTCCCTTGCATCTCCTGCCTTGGCAGGTGGATCGTTTACCACTGCACGGCCTGGGAAGCCTCTGTGGGATCATTACCTCTCTTCTTTGGGTCTTGTTTCCTCAACCATAAAGCAGCAAGACAAGTGAGCGTTATCCTCACCTCTAGAGCTGTCCCAAGATGTAAGAGAGCTCAAGTACACGGCAGGTGATCAGTCTATCTGATGCCTTTTCTTTCCCATTTCTGTTAACAACTTGGAGGTTTTATCTCAGGTGGCCAGCCACACCGCCAACCCCAGGGCCTTTGCATGTGCTGGTCCTTCAACCTGGAACACCTACCTCAGATCCTTCCATAACTTGTTCTCGCATCTCCTTAATTTTTTTCTTTAAATGTCACCGGCTCAGTAAGGCCTTTCCTGACAACTCTGTTTAACAATGTGACATTACAACACCAACATTCCCTATCCTCCCTCCCGGCTTATTTTTCTCCACATCTCTTACCATTCTTTGACCTACAATATTTTATGGAGTATTTACTTATTGTTTGACTCCCCTCACTGGCATGTAAGCTCAGAGATGATGGTGATATTTGTCTGTCTTGTTCAGTGTCATATCTTCTGTACCTAGAAGAGTCTGTGGTACATAGTAGGTGCTCAACAAATATTTCTGGAGCGAATTTTTAAAAATTAATTCATTTATTTTTGACTGTGCTGGTTCCTTGTTGCTGTTCACAGGCTTTCTCTAGTTGCAGCAGGCAGGGGCTAGTTGCGGTGCACGGGTTTCTCTTTGTGATGCCTTCTCTTGTTGCAGAGCACGGGGTCGAGAACATGGGCTCAGTAGCTGTGGCGCATGGGCTTCGTTGGTCTGTGGTAT